GTGTGTGTGTGTGTGTGTATGCATGTGTGAATGTATGTATGTATGTATATAAATATACGTGTGCATGTATGTAGGCATATTTACATATATATATATATTCTCGAAAAATGTGAATAGGTAGCTCAATTTGTCTATTTCTATGTGTATACTGAGTTGAACTGGTACGTGGTTACAAGTATTCTATGATCAAGCTCTTACCTCCACAATCACAGGTACAACGATGAGGACTTTATGTTGTCTCTGCGTGCATTCAGTCGCATTGGTTTATTGAATGCACCTTAGTCGGTCACAGAGATACTGTATGCACGGCATATAAACATCATCCAAAAGTAGATATAAAGCAGCACAGAATCAGAAGTAAAAGCATAAACTTGTACTGCAATTTGCTTGTTGTACGTAGTCATGTTATCATACTTTAGTGTATTATATTTATATATATATCATTTCACGATTAATATTTCTGATATATATTTGGGCGTCAAATTATTTTTTCGACTAGGTTTTATCCATATTCGTTTGTAACCCAATTTACTTCTGTGCATGTGTATGAAATAGAGGTATTGACATTACCTCACACATTGTTTTATATATTTATATTTATATATGTGTGTGTGCGTGTGTGTGTACACGTACACGCGTGTGTGTGTGTGTGTATGCATATGTTATATATATATACATTTATATACATACATATATATATATGTATATATATATTCATATATTTATATTTATATTTAGATATATATATATTTATAAATTCATAGGTTCATATACCAATGGGCGCGTGTGTACTCATGTGTCAATATCAAATCATACGCTGATGTATACTTTTTATGTCCGTGCTTCGAATGTATATTTTTGTGTGCATAAGTTTTCACTTATCTTTATTTTATTTCGAGCGAGTGGATAAAATATATATACGCCTGCAAATCGGCAAGCATACATATACTTAAATCAATTTTAGTAGATGCATCCATTTAGGAAAAAAACGTCTTATGGCTTATTGTCTTTTAATAAGCATGTGGGTACTTTCACCTAGCCCTATCATTAATCGTGTTTGTCTAGGGTTTTGCGCCTGCATGAAGCGATTGTTCATATAACTTTGTATGCGAATTTCAATTACATTTATACATTGTACGCATGCGTGGCATCGGTATTTTGTATCTGCAGAAGCGCAGGTCCCAAAATACGGTTAATTGCTATGCTCCACTTATAGGCAATTGTCTACATCTTTAAATATTCTGCCATCGTCCATATACCTGATTATACATGTATACACATGTCCGCAAACGAAGGGTTCATTTGCACACCAGTGCATAGCATTGGCTTGGTGAGTGTCTGTCAATGTCACACTGCATGAGGTACTTATTCGCATCTCTGTTCACAAAACAGCATGTGGCGTGTGTGCCACCGACTCCCATTGAGATCGCATCAGCACCTGTTCGCCCGCAGAATGGCAAGGCAAATGTACTGAAATACATAATGTCGCGTAACACAAAGGACTCGGCTTATTACCAGTATGTTTTAGTATTTTCGCACATTCCTGTATTTGTATTCAATATATAGGGGTACAAATTCAGTAGTGACTTGTTCTTTACTGTAATTGGCCCGTCGCATATTAAAAGGTTCGAAAATATAGGTCTTATTTAAGCACGTTATTTTATCGTTTTAGAAACTGTAGATTAGGTTTATAACAAATCCACTCATTGTATATGTATCCAGAAACAGCATGTTAGTAAGAATACAAATCGCCTATACAATGTATTAATTCGGAGTGCTTTTATTCTCTAGACATGTATCACGATCGGATATTGGGCACGTTCCATATGACACCGCCGACCTGAGCCCTTCAGAGAGGACTTCGGAAACCACTTCTACTAGTTACAATCGGGCGCATTCCGTGCCTCATCTTGTACCGTGTACCAAACGATCATTCAGTAGCAAGAAAAAAGGTTCCAAGAAAGACGCCTCGAAATCTTTCCCTATGCCTCGCCGGTATACAGCTGAGGATATATCTCTGCCAGTTTCCTTCAAGTAGGTGTCCGTGGTTCAATGCTGCATGTTGGAGTACATTTGTGAGTGTCGGTATCTATTTGTGTATGTATACAACCGACATGTGTTTTTTATCATACACGCTCATACCGAGTTCCCATATCCTCTAGTACCCTTCGGACTGCTCTAGCATGCGCTCGTATTCTTGCATATACCTCCCCATCGCCGACGGCGCATCTGTAGGTAGTGAAACCCATGTGCGACTTTAAAACGTGCATATAAATCCTGCTGCATCGGATACTCGAACACCACTTAAACATTAAACGCCATATCAGTATTACCTGATATGCGTATTTATTCTAGCTTTCTCGTCACGCCTGCACAGACACATATGTCACGTGGACAAAAAAGGCGCCGAGAATTATCGGAAATCACGCCAAAACGGCACTGGCCACCGCACAACCACCGCCACCAGTCGGAGCTTGGACGGCAACTTGAACCGCTCGACACAAAAGTCAGCGATTGTACGTTTACAGTCACTGAGTAGGGATAAGTCACCGGCTGTACGTTTACAGTCACTGAGTGGGGATACGTCACCGGCTGTACGTTTACAGTCACTGAGTGGGGATAGGTCACCGGCTGTACGTTTACAGCCATTGAGTGGGGATAAGTCACCGGCTGTACGTTTACAGCCATTGAGTGGGGGAGATACGGAGCCCGCTCGTGCAGTGATCAGGTCTAAATCAGCTTCAAAAGTTGATTCATTTATTTGGGACGAGTTCGACCACGGGGTAAGGCATGTACCGAAGAAGAAACCCCCGCGCTCACCTCCCACGCAGTTAAGATATGATAAACCCAAACCGCCCGAATTCAAGCGTGTGCTTGTGAAACGGGCCACGACGGGTAATACGCATAGTTACGAGGACATGCGTAGTGCCTTCCAGAGTAGACCGGCCAGCAGTGGTTATCTATCAAGCCCAAATGCCTTAAGAAGCCCAAACGCCTTAAGAAGTCCAAACGATTTCTCAAGCTTAAACACTTCGCAAAGCCCATGCGCGTTAAGAAGCTCAACCGCTTTCACAGGCTTAAACACTTCGCAAAGCCCAATTGCTCTAAGTGGGTCGTCTATGGGTTCGTTCAACGCTGCTAGTAGCAGTGGTTTCAGCTTTAAATCTGCTGCAACAGGTACAACATATTTGTGATTGAATTTGCGATATTTTACTTATGAGTAGGTTCAATATAGACTCGTGGAGGTATACTAGGAACTATTATAAGAGCTTTTGATCCGGTGATCTACTGGAGTGCCTGTATTTCAACGTGCTGTACTCACTCGACTGTTCTAATAAGTCATGTCCATTGTTTATTTTTACCTGTCCACAGCGGTGCCTGCTGCCCCTCGATCGAGGTTGACGTACACCAGCACAAGATGATGATGAGGAATGTACTTCAAATACATCTTAATAGCTCTCGGTGCCGCGATTGATGCAACTTGTGAATCCGGACCAGATGATATCTCATAATATAGCCCTTACAATGGCCTGCTACTGGATTTCGCGCACTACGTTTACATCTTGGACCGGAACCTGCTACTTAATTTAGTAAATAATAAAACACATCTCATAACTCTCTTTTACGGCTGCGTGTTTATCTAGCACTTAAAAGTATTTTCACCAAAATCGCCAGCGGTTTTTATTTGAAGGCAAGGTAGACTCCCCTTGGTGATAAAGTGGTGATGCCGTACGTGTGAACGCTCGGCGTATAGTCGGGTGAACTCGGCTGATACTTGTCAGAGAAGCACTTTCTAGACACCTATGGTTTTATGTAGACTGTGCCATAAGGGGCATCATCTGATTGCGCATTGTCCACTATAGTTATATCTCAATACATATTTAGACTGCACATGTGAACAGGAAAGAGGTTTACAAATATATATAATCAAGCCTTTCAACAACAACAAAAAGCGAATGTGTCTGTCTCCCCAAAAAAAACAGGGTGTTGATACAAAATATATATCGAAGTCGTTTAAAAATGCGACAACAAGTTACCTGCATCGCTAAGCTGTGCACGAAGTGCAAACACCGCTAAGCTGTGTACGAGGTGCCAACACCACATAAAGTCCTTCTGGTTTCAACTGGTTTCAGCTGGTTTCAGCTACAAGGCTCAATCTGGATAAGTTTTGTGTTCAGTCTATAGAGTCCGCAACAATCCCATTTAGCACACTTCTGTAAATACCATTCTTCTCGTAACCGCCAGAGATACAGACTGAAATATGCATACTACCCTCAAACCTTCTTGCTCACGCTGCCTTTGCGCATCTAGACCAATTTAGGAGTACCCCTATTTATATCAGCACTATAACAAGCGGTAGTCCGTGGTTTGTTCTTTGTACCTGTATTATAACCTCATACTCACCTCACCTCTGCACATGCAGATCGGCGTGGAAGCACCCCTGTGACCATCCCCTATTGCCACCATATATATCTCTCCTCAGTCTATTAATACTACTAAATACTATTTTAGTAGAGAGAGAGAGAGGAATCCCTATTTACTACAGTAGAGTGAGTGCGAGAGATATTATTATCTCTGGTTTGTAACTCGCCCATAATAAAATATAAATAGAATACATACATACATACATACATACATACTAACCACGATTTTAAACGTTAATACTGATGGCTCTTTGGTTGCATCTTCGGGTGCATTTTCAGAGCCCTGGGGTTTAAAATAAATGATCCAAATGCGAGAGCCTGTTATTCCCGCCTTTTGTTGTGTACTAAAACGTTTACATTCGACTTCATTTTTATTATACCGTGTTGAGCCTCTCTTATTCACTCAAAAATAAAGATCAGGTTTATCCCGATGTACATATAAAGAGGTGTCAGCAACGTCTGAACTCTGAACTATTTACAAAAATATATGACCGTCAAGACTGCCAAAAGTTGACACGTCATTGAAATTTTATTAATATCATATTCGTTTTTGTACGATGTCATGCGTACACATCAGAGATCAGCAGGATAGATATACATTAGTAGTGTTCTCCACAACAAGAGAGTATACTAAAACAAAGACGATATAAAATACATGTCAAAGAGAGCCGAGTTGCTCATACTCAATTAAAATCTAAACAATAGCCCCAGTTGTTGTCGCTACTATATAGGGCAATTGTACATACTTCTATATAGGTTTATTTAGACGCTGCGCTTGCCATGCAAGTATCGCGATTGGCCAGCAGGCTCTCCGACGGGTGTCGTGTGTATGTCGCTCCACGGTGTGCGTGTGCACGCTCGTACAAAACACAAGCACACGTAAGTAGTAGACACAATGGGCGTGCTACGAATAGAATTATTGGTAGCGGGGTACGTCACACAAACACACTACTTCGACCAGCCTTTAGTATAAGAGCCTTGTGTACGTCAGCAACAAGTAGGGTCACTGATTCGAACGATGCACCTGCAGAGAATATGCATACTGGTGTAGATAAGGTTGCCAAGAAAGACTCTCAGTACACAAAGACGATTGATAGTATCTACTCAACCGCATTTGCTGGTGACGCTGACTCTGGTATGGTAATCTTTTGTATATCTAAAGCATTATTTTGCATTTTCACATCTTTATGGAACTAGTGTGTATTAGTGCGTTATTGTAACAGGTAATCATCAAGGAGAACAATTTTGTGAAGGTATTCTTAGCTATTCTATATTTCATCGCATGTTCACAAGAACTCATGTTTTGTACAAGGAGGCGTGCAACTAAAGAGTCGTACTTATGAACTA